CAAATAAACCCCTCCAAATTCACACTTTCTATTTGATATCTGTAAAACTACCTATAAACAATTTATCTAGTGAGACAAATATTTTTTGAAACTTCTAAGTACTCATATAATGAATACTTATTAAAAATGCAGACTAGAACAAGTTCCAATCAGTAGAGTAGGAAGCAAGGGAAGCACTAATAAGACTTCCTAATTATTTTAGATCAGTAATTGCTTGAATAAAGTGTAGGGAGTGTATAAAACCTTCAAATGAATAACAACACAGTCTAGTTCAGTGGGTTATTTGAATTTGCACTACATGCAATAAAATTATTGCTTTTGTTCCTTGAAGAACTCTGCTGCCTTAAACACAGTTTTTTCCCTTTAGGCAATCAGTATTTGCAAGCAAAAAAAAAAAAAAGAGGGATTTTTACCCCATTTTTTAAGCGTATCAACTGTTTTTGATGCCCCAGTGGAATGCAGTACCTTTGAAATATCAAATTTTATAGTCTGTAAGAATGTTATTTCTTAAAAGTTATAAAATGCTCATCCCTTTGTCTCTGATTGCCTCTAATTGCCTCAAACATATATGAACAAAAATAATTAAACTGCTACAATAATACAACAAAATCCCTGTTATGTAATGTAGAAGACAAAGTTTTCTGGTTTCAAAGAGGTGGTCTGGTTTATGTGCACAAAACTGCACATAATAGACTCTCAAAAATATATATCTTTAAGTGCAGAAGCCTAAACTACTCTTTTACATATGCTACAGATTTACCACTGATGTGATAGTTGGCTATACACACCATAAGAGCACCTGGGATTTTGGCTGAGCGATGTCTACAGTAGAATCCGCCCCAAAGGCGGCAATCACACCTACCTACTAAACATGCCTCTCCAGACCTCTTCATAATGGAAACTGTACCAGATATAACAGTTACAGGAATACACATGGCCTATTCTAACTTCCATTTGCACGTTCATACTCTGTTTAAAAAAAAAAAAGTTACTGCAGTTCAGCTTAAACTTTTCCAAAATGACACACTGATTCCTATGAAAAAAGGACACTTTTATGCCACAGTAAGCATTTGCCCAGATAGTGGAAGGGAGACAGACCTAAGTGTCACAGAACATAACTGTAAGTTGTTAAATTCATATCTTACATATTAGAAAAACAAAACACACCTGTGCATATAAAACTGTATATTACATCCACTTTCATTTTCATATATGGGGGCAGAATGCATATAGTGCGGAATGCTTCTAAATGTTATCCTTTTACTAAGGATTATTACTACCTTTTGTTTATGTCATCTTCTAAGACCAACACTGGACACCTCAAAGGTCTACACTACTCTATTTCAGTCTCTAAAATGTTACTGAAGTGTCTGTCCTTTTAATGGCCTCCTCTTCCAACTGCAAATTCTTTTCAAAGGGAGGTGAAACTACTCACAAATGCAGAAAGGGTTTAGAAAAGGACTACAATTCAACAAAAATTACACTTTTTTTTTTTTACACAATTTTTTACACAATTACAAAAATAGAATTTCTCAGGAGGAGATGCGATGACACTTGTGAATGACTTTCAAGAAACTCATTTAAAATAGTCACTTTTGATTGACTGAGAGAAACAAAGACTGAGCATTTGAATTCAACTTAATGCTGCTGTTGATACAATTGAAAAATTGTACATTCTTCTAGTCAATACATGCACTTGCATTACTGAATAATTTTTTAACCTTCTTGATGATTCCTGTTGCACTTTCTAACCTGTTTTCCAGCTCTACAAATCTGCCTTGACTATTTGAAGATTTTCCATCTAAAGTTGTATCCACTTTTTTTTCCCAGGAAAAGCAGACGTAGATGCTTCACTCATTCTTGGAAGAGGAAGGATTTCTTCTTCAGAGCATTCACGTTTACTGATAAAAAAGAAATTTGCTGCTACAGTTTTCAATATTTGCTCTGGATACCTCACAGACTGAGGAGAACCATCTTCTAATTCACTCTGTAAGTAGGTTATTATTGTTGTTCTCTCTAATTTCTCAACATGGGTTAAAAATAAATGGGATTAAAAACGGGATTAAAATAAAGTCAGGAGCAAACAGGGACACTTCCTCTAGAAGTTTCAATGCTAATTTCACCAGTGAGGTAAGAGGTGCTTTAACTTAAACCCAAGTGGGGAGATGCTAAAGTGCAAGTGAAAAGTAGTTAAATTCAGTCACCTGAAATTTATCATGGCACATGATTACTGCACTTTAAATTATTAGAAGGCCACATTAATGTCTATGCATTTTTAGCACTGTAACAAAACAAAGCTTGACCTATGATGCAGAAAAAAAAAGTACAAAGAACAGAACAGGCAATACTGTAACAACAGCAGGCAAAATATTAAGTTGCATCCCTTCCTCTAACTGGAGTTAATACAGTGCTTACTGCAATACACCACATTCAGTCCTGATATAAGCAGTAGCACAAGCCCAACTGCTAAAGAAACTGTTTCTGCTTATGGGATAAGTGGGGGAAAAAAAAAAAAAGCCAACTGCAAGGGAACATGAAATCAGAAAGGGTTAAAACATTATTAATATTTAACTTTAAAAACTTTTGCTTCACGTACTACTGGTAACACAACTTTGAAAGTTTATGTCCAGAGACAGTACTTACTTGTTTACCTACAAGAATACATATCTAACTGTATGATTTTTTTCCACATTAAATAGGACACATTGAAAAGAAAGATATTTTCAAGTTATGCCTAAAATGATGTTCTCTGTTTAAGGTTACCTAATTTTAGGGGTACTTAAGGGCTAAATTATTAAGAGCCATCTTATTTAAGCCCCTATTGAGGGAACAAATACACTGCAAAGTAGGTAAAACACAAGACTGAACAGGACAACGTGCTTACAGAACATGAATTCTAATGCCATGATGATTGTAACTCCATAATGAGTTTATTGACCAAGATATTTTAAAACCTCAGTGGGTTTTATTTTACATAGCAAATCTTTAACAGGACAAAGAGAGATATCCACAAGGCAGAGAACTTTTGGGAGAAATGGCATATTTGTTCCTGATCTGGTTAAATCCTTGGCAATCATGTTTCCCTTTATTTGCAAGGCTTTTGAGTTGTGCCAATTAAGCATACTGATTGTTAGTATAGATACGACTCTTATTTGTTAAGACCAAAAGTTTGGAGGTAGGGATAAAGTTTTATTAAGAGGGCAACGTCAAATGTATTTTGTATGCACTGACCTGCCAACTTAGTAGTCAGACCGCCACCTTTCAAGGTAAGTGTTCCAAGGCTTACCATAACATATTCAACACGCACTGAATTTCAGTCTCCTTGCACTAAAAGCTAGAAGTGGCGGAAAAGCTTTCGGCCCACAATGCAAAGACAAGCTTCAACTTTTACAATACCCAGCACAGAAACCCTGAACTCAACTGATGATATGTACCATCCTTTATCACATCTCTCGCACGATTCTGACTACCACCACAGTTCCCACACAAAGAAAGAAATCCTATGTAGTTAACAGGAAGAGAAGGAACAACCCTGTCTGCAATTCAGAAAGGCTGATCAAAGCCCTTCTGGTTCCTGGCACAGCAATTAGAGGGTACTGGATACATGTTGTAGCACTTGTAAAGAAACACTAACGTTATATTCAGTGAAAATAAAATACCTTTACCTCTTTTTCAGAGATCCTGGCCAGTAACTGTTCATCAGCTTCAGAAGAAAAGAAAAAAAAAAAAAAAAACACACAACGGTTTACTTTTCACTTACTACTATCAAAATTCCAACATTAAAAAAAAGGTAACTTGTTATGGAGAAGTTAAAGTGACATCATCAGATCACAAACAGGATGTCAAAGAACAATTTACTTTGGAAATGTCCAACTCTAACTAGATCACTCTAATGGCAAGTCCCTATGTTGAAAGATGTTTTTAAACTTTGGTTTTGTAGACATCCTAATAAACATCTCACAGACTGCCTCTCCTTTTCTTTGGCAGCTGTAAGCAATTCTCAATTTAATGTAGTATCAGATGACAAACAGGTGACTTACAAAAATTAAATACCAACCTATCAGTTTAGTCTGCATTATTAATGAAATTTTGGGGCTACACACAAGGTGACTTTGGGAGTAGATTGTGGCCAGCCAGCCCACTCCCTGGAACTGCCACTTTTGTCCTGCAGGTACCACAGAAGTACCAGTTTGAGAATCAGTGCTGAGATACACGTAACACTTCTCCATAAGGCACTAACTTGTCAACAGCCAGTTGCTCAACGTCTTCAGCCAATGACTTCACACCTGCCTGCACCATACCAGAGGAAAGAAAAAACAAACACTCTGTAATTTTCAGGAAATACACAGCACCAGTATTTCCTGACTAACCCTGGGTTTAGATCTGTACATACAACACAGGAGAACATCCCTAGGACCCTAAGAACACCTAGAGAAAAACCGAAATCCAAGTTCTTACAGCTAATGTGTGTCCCGCAGGGAGGCTTCCCTCTCTGCCCTTCTCCCACGACCTACCCGAAGCGCACGAGCCCGCGGGACAGGGGCATGAAGGGTCGCCCCTAGGCACAGCGATGCCGCCCCGCTGCGGCCGTGGGGGCTGACAGGGCCCCAAACCTGCCCACCGGCCCCGCACGCACCTTGCCGAGCTTGTCTGCCTTATCCTGGCTCTCAGCTGCTTGAGGCTGAGGGAGTGTTGGGACAGCAGCAGGGCCCACAGCCCAGCAGGGGCCCCGCC